GCCCCCACAATACCTTTGTTTTTAGATGAGAAGACTGAGGTTAGCGAAAGTATAGAGTTTGCCCAAGGCTACACAGCCCATAAATGGTGCAGCAGGTTTCAAATGCAGGTCAGGATGACAACCAAGCCCATACTCTCCTGCTTCACACTCAAATGGGGTGGGAAGAACTTGTTGCCATAAAATAAAACATCATAAACACACACAACATCTCTGCGGTTTGCTGTCCTGTTGCACAACAAACGTGATTGGAAGCACACACAAATTGACTCTGATTAATATCACTCTTATGCACTTAAGTCTATTTTTTATTGTTTCTTCCCTCATTTTGTTAGTTTTCAAATATCTCCAATCCGTGTGAAAGTGCACACTTTCCTCAGATGCCCTAAAGTTCATTTCTCGCCTAACACAGTTTCTTCTCTGCCACTTTCTAGTTCTGTGACCTTGGCCATATGTTTTCTAAACTTCAGTATTCCCATCTATAAAGTGGGTATAACAATAGTACTTAGTAGGTTTATTTGCATTAAATAAGCTAAAGCTAAAAAGATCTTAGTGCAATCCTTGATATAGTAAGTGCTTAAAAAATGATAGCTATTACAATTAAGAGTAAAATACTAATCTTATTGTTCTCTATTATACAGTTCTTATTGTTCTCTATTATACAGTGAGAAAAGGTAAGAAATGGCTGAATGAATTCTATTAATTGTGTGATATTCATTTAGATTTTTTTTTCAGGGGCAATCTTATGTTCTTTAAACCCTGTAATGTAATATGAAATAATTATTCTGAATGGATCATTCTGAATTAGGTTGAAAATATCAGCAAGTCTCTTTCATACAGTTCATTTTGTTTTTCCCTCTTTTTTCTTTTTTCATTTTATTATTTATTTATTTTCTGCAGTTTTAGAGACATATAATTGACAAATGAAATTCTGTATATTTAAAGCATGATGGTTTTTTTATAACTATATATTAATTTTCTTTATGTGTTTTTCAGTTTTATTGAGGTATGATTAACAGTTATAAGGTATGTAAAGTGTATACTAGTATCATGATGATTTAATATACATATATAGTGAAATGATTACTGCAATAAGATTAATTAACCCTTTTGTTACCTCAGTTACTTTTTTTTTGTGGTGAGAATGCTTACTGAAAATCAACTCTCAGTAAATTTTAAGAATACAACACATTATTATTAACCATGTTGTATATTAGATCCCCAGAACTTATTTATTTTATAACTGGAGGCTTGTATCCTTTGACCAACATCTCCCCATTTCTCCCACCTCCCAGCTCCTGGTAACCACCATTCTACTTCTCTGTTTCTATTAGTTCAACTTTAAAAAAAAAACAAAAAACAAAACTGATTTCAGAGAGATAGAAACATCTATGAGAGAAACATCGATTGACTGCTTGCTGCACACCCCCATTAGGGATTGAGCCTGCAATCCAGGCATGCGCCCTGACCAGGAATTGAACCAGCGACCTCCTGGTGCAGTGGGACTAAACTCAACAAACAGAGCCACACTGGCTGGGGAACTTCTTGTTTTTTGAGAGTCAACATATAAATGAGATAATGCGGTATCGATCTTTCTCTGTCTAGCTTATTTTACTTAATATAATATCCTTTAGGCTCCTCAGAAGAAGTGAGTGTCAGAGAATTTGTGGTCACATTTTAAAACAACAGTCTTCAAGAACTGCTGGACTAGATGATATTAAAGGGTATTTTTAACCCTGAATTTCCATGGGGAAGAGAAATGAGGTCAGTGTTCAGGTCTGAGTAAAGATCCAAGGGGCCCTGTTGTAAGTATTTCCCTCATTATTTCCCTGGCAAATTTCCATTAATGCTTTCAAACCAAGTTCAGAAATCACTTCTTTTAGAAAATAGGTAAGCCCCTTCCTCTATACTACCTCTGTACCTATTTTCTACATCTGTGATTATGCTTGTTACACTACATTGCAAATATTTTGTTTCTTATTCTCCTTATTAGACTGTGAGCTTTGGAAGTCAGGAGGATTATCTGATTTCTTTCTTTAGTACCTAGAGCTGTGTCCCAGTAATCATCTTTGGGGGTCACATTTCCTCTTCGTTTGTTCCGTCATTAGTGTCAGATCCTGTGTTAAGCTTTGGGACAAGATTCCTGCTCTAACTGTATTTTTAGAAGGAATACAATAAACAAGTAAACAAACAAAGAAGATAATTTCAGAAAGCAATCCCTGCTCTGGAGAGAATAAACACAGATTGAATTATGTGGGTTGTGATGTGGAGTGGTGGCTACTTTAAAGGAGGTGGTTGAGGAGCACTGTAAATCTATATGTCTGGCTCCAGCTGGCCTAGCCTGGAATCTGGAAACTGAAATTTATATAATGTTATATTAAGCAATAATATCTCAGTTTTAAAAAGTTAAAGAAGCCCTAGCCGGTTTGGCTCCGTGGTTGGAGTATCGGCCCATAGACGGAAGGGTCCCAGGTTCATTTCCAGTCACAGAGGGTATGCAGGGAGGCAACCAATCAATGTGTCTCTCCACATCATGTTTCTCTCTCTCTGTTTCTCCCCCTCCCTTTCACTCTGTCTACAAATCAATGTAAAAAAAATATCCTCAGGTAAGGAGTTAAATAAATAAATAATAAGGTTTTTTTAGTAAAGCAAGAAACACATCTGAGGTGAAGAATCTGTAGGCTCAGTGTGGCCAGAAGAGGCACATCTGTCACTTGCCTGTGGCCATGTCTGCAGACTGAGTGAGTTAGTCACATTAGGCAGAAATGTGAGCACTAAGAAGGCTGGCAATTGGGCCTCAAACCCAGGCGGTGGCTCAGTGCATTTGCATAATTGCTGTCTGCACTAAACTTCAGGAACTTACTGGAGGAGACAAGACAGGCCTGTTTGAAAGAAGCAGAGAACAGACAGTGGGTGTCGGGATACGGAAATGCAAAGCAAGGCGTGGATGCATGTGGGAGTGGAAGAGCTTGTTCTGGTCTTTCAAGCTTGCACTTATGCTGGCTTCTTTCCAGTCCCATCCCTTCAGGCCCGGGTGCCCTCAGGCTTCTTCCCCCTTATGCACACCTGCTCTGGGCGACAATTCCCCAGTCTTCCAGGAAACCTTTAGTGGGTGCATAAAAAGGTGTGGTCCAGCTTTCCACGCAGCAGAGGTGGTCCGTTCAGGGAGTCTAGGTAAGAAAAGATTCCTGAAGCATTCTCCCAATGCTTTTCAAACTTAAGTCTTAGTTATTTTTTTTTAAAGCAGTTAACAAGCAAACAGCCCCCAAATCCTCACATGGTGCCTCCTCTGTGAAACCTCCTCTGACCACTCCCCTGAGTGGTCAACCTTCTCTCCTTTTTGTTGCCACAGTGTTTTGTATAGAGCTTTATTCAAGCCCTAATCATATGCTATACAGCTTTCTTCTGAGGGCAGGAACGGCCATTTTTTTCACTTCTGGTATATTTTACTTGGCTGGATGATGAATAAAGGAAAAAGAATCCAAAACATTCACACTAAGGTGCAAGGGGTTAGTGTTTGCTTTAGATATTACCCATCCCTAGACAATACCAATGTACAACAATAGGAGGTGGATGACCTAAGAGCTGGCAGTGGAGGCCTAAGAGCTGGCACC